CTCTCGTTGGCTGAAACTGTTCCGCGACCTGCCTCGTCGAGCTGCGGTTATCCTGCGGCTTCGACAAGTGTAGTTTTTTGCCCCGGCCTTTCGGCTCGCTATTTTTGTCGCTGCCCGACTCTGGTAGGGCTTCTCTTGTTGTGATGGAGCTTTCTTCGTCTATGGTCCCACGTGGTGGGTAACTATCAGGGGAAGACGGCGGTTGTCTTCCCCTCAAGTTATAAGGAGCAACGGGAAGGTGATTGTCCCTTTATCAAGATTGCAAGCAGAAAAAGTGGGAAAGCAGTACTTTTTTCTCTGAGCTAGAAATTTCATTCCTTACTGATAAATTCAAGTTTGCATTTATTAGAAAATTTCAATGGGGACACCCACTTATGGATGTTATCAGGAAAAGTTTTGATGATCTCAAATTAGCAGGAAAGTGGAAAGTAGACTCATAGATGGGAGACACATAATAATGCAACTAACCGTACCTAAAGACTACACTGAGATTTTTTCCAAAAAAATATCTCAACATTGCTGGTAAACCAATGAAGCTACTCAAGTAGTCTCCTAATTTTGACCCCAAACGCGAATCTCCTACTGTACCGGTATGGTTTAGTCTATCTAATCTCAAGCTATACTTTTCTCATCATTAGATTATTTACTCTATTGGTGTCATACTTGAGGACTCTTTGAAGCTAGATCTACTCACTTTTAACCTAACCAGACTTTCTGTGGCCAGAATACTTCTTGAAAGAGATATTACTTTACCTAATGTTACTGAAGTCTGGTTGGGCACAACTCACAATGGATATTGGCAACAAATTGTTATGAAGCATAGACCTCCTTATTGTTCTCATTGTATGATATTTGAGCACAACCTTGATAAATGTTATAAGCTTCACCCTAATTTGAAATCTAAAGATCAAGTGAATAAGAATGGATCTGACCCCACTTCTTTGGATATATCTGTTCCATCTGAAGAGAAAACTACTACAGAATAGGTTATGGTGTCTGATTTAATCGTCCCTGTGGATCCTCCCCCTGAAAATATTATTTCTACGATCGAAGAGAAGCTAGATGGACCTGCTGAGCAACCTACACTTTCAAACCCACCTCAGTTGCAAGAAGCATTAGGTGAAGAGGAGACATTTCATGCTTCACACACACTTGAACCTACAATCGTTGCAACAGTTGACAATCCTTATTCTGGTGTTCATCATCTTTTATCTGCCCAGCATTTTGTTTACCAACACAATGATCAGATGAGTCAGTCTTCTGAGGAGAAATGGTAGGTCTATTCAAGGAGGAAGAAGAAGATTGGAGGCAAACTTCAGCTTAGAAACCTAATGGATAATACTTTGGCTCCATCGGGAAATGGCTTGGCACTCAATAATTTGTTACCTGGATCTCGCCCTAGAACTAAAGGAAGAGACAGGGCTAAACTGGTTCATCCCTAGCTAATTCTTTTCTGCGATTTTGGTATATTTTCTTTTTTTTGAGTTTCCCTATATCTTTCTTCTTTTGGGGTGTTTGTGTGTGTTGTATCGTATGGGTAAGGTGTCTCTATAGGGCCCTTTCATACAACATTTATGTATCTTTCCTATTTTAATAGATTTAGCCCTTCGGCTTTTCAATATATATATATATATATATATAATAAATTCAACGGCCTCTGTTTATGTTATAATTCTAATAACTGTAGCTGAAATCTTCCAATTTCTCAATCTAAAAGAGAAAATGAAATTGCACTAAAGGGGAATAATATTTATCATTAACAGAAGGAAATCTTAACAGTTATTTCATTATGAAAAGGCCTAATGACATTATTACATTGGTACCTAGCCTAAGGGCAATTTTATCTTTTGTACTCCTAAAAGAAATTTAGTCATTTATTATTATTGATGTTGTGTATAAATAGACTTATTATATTAGGGTTAGGTTTATGCAAAGAGATTGGGCTAAGAGTTTTAGATTTAAGGTTTGGGAGAGATTCCTACCTCTCGAATTGTAGGAATTGGGAGAGGTTGCCTACTTCTTGAAAAGTAGGTGCTTATCTTTTGTATTATTGTTTAGTTGTTTGGATAATTGAAGAAAATATTACTTTGCTTTAACTTCTACGGAAAAATATGCTGATTTTAATGTTGGATCGTATCAAATTAGTATTAGAGCTCAAGACTTTGGGAATCGGATTTACAGAAAAGGAGATCGATCGATCGACTCGTGGCTTACTGTGACCCGAAACTTCCATCTTTTTACTCTTACTTCGTCCTCATGACACTAACGAGATCGCGACACATAGAAGCCAACGACGAAATCAGCATACAAAAGACGGACTCACGGCATACAGCAAAAAAAAAATTGCTTATAGTTGAGATCAGAGCTGGCCGGGAAGGCGCCAGCAGGAACCTAATCACGATAGGCGATAGGATCATAATCACGACAGGCAGCTAGTGTCGCCTTCATGACCGAATCCTGCGATACAACCCCCAGTTGAACCTGGGGGGAGTTGACAGTACCGCGACTTACATCAACGAGATAACTAATTTAAACTGTATCGCAATGTGTTGTTCTCCTTCTATCATCTAATTTAAACCGCATGATATAGTCGTGATTTTAGGATTCACAGTGCACAAGGCGTGACCTAATCACACGACAATTCTTTCTGACTGAACTACGCAACCAACTGAGCCAACGATGAGATTTCAAGGTACAAAAATTTTGCCTTGGTGGTTGAAAATTTTTACAGGAGTAATAGCAGTCGAGAAAATAGACACTTTGGAGAAGAAATTGAAAGAAGAAGTGGAACAACTTAAATCTGGCATAGAAGGAAGATTTTTCGCCATTGACAACAGATTCGAGAGCTTGGAGTTGTTGAGGAAGCTTATTGAGATGCAATCAAAGAACCCGGCGGCGGTTCAGTTTACAAACCAAGGGTTGACTGAAGATTCAATGGCTAAATCGAAAATAAAAAGATCGAATCAAAAGAAAATGAGAAGGAAAGCCTTTACCTTCAAGAACATCCTCTCAGGACTTCGAGTGGGGGTGGATTAGAGAGAAGCAGAAAGGGTATACAGGCTATGATTCAAGGAGAGATTTTTACCATCAATAAATAAGGGAAAATAGCGAAGGGAGAGAAAGTTGGGGTAGAGATGCTAGGGTTAGCAAGTTGAAGATGTCGATCTTCGAATGGGGAAGACGCACATGGATGGGTGCATAGGGTGAAGCGATATTTTGCGGTGAGTGGTCTAGATGAGAAGAAAAACTCATGGCGGCATAGTTATGTTTGGAGGGAGAAGCACTAGCCTGGTTTCAATGGAGGGAGACTAGATAACTGATCTAATCACGGGAAGAATTTAAGGATTATTTATTGGAACATTTTTGAGTCATTCCGGAAAGAGACCTACACGAGCAATTCTATGCCTTGACTCAACAGGAGACTGTCATGGAATATAGGGAGAGATTCGAGCTATTATCGAGACGGTTGAGGGAAATTTCTGAAGCAGGATTGTAGTGTAATTTCATGAAGGGCCTAAAACCCAACATATAGGTAGCACTCCGACTATTCAGACTGCGGGGATAGAAAGAGGCAATGAAACCAGCCCAGATGATGCAGGAAAAGAGCCAGAAGGAAAAGGCCCATAGGAGCAGTACAGATGGAGTATCGTGTCGAACTACTACCACCGCGATGATACTAAAAGTTCAAAGAGTGGAAATCCTGAGGGAGGGTGCATGGCACAGGAATAATGGTTCTTAATCGGGAGAGACAATCCAGCACCTTACAGATATAGAGATTGTCCAGAAACAAGCCAAAGGGTTATTTTTACAGTGTAATGAGAATTTTATCAAAGGACACTGTTGCATAGATCAAAAATTACAAGTTCTCATGGTGCATGACAAGGATGCAAAGGATGAAGAAAAAAAGACCATTGTGGTGGAGTAGGAGGAAAACTATTTTTTTCCACCTTGAGGACAAGATGTCTTTTGGGGGGGAGTATTATTATGTCGGTACTTAGCCTAAAGGCAATTTTATCTTTTGTATGCCTAGAGATAATTTAGTCTTTTATTATTATTATTATTATTATTATTATTATTATTGGGTACAAATAGGTTTATTATGATTATGGTTAGGTTTATGCATGAGATTGGATTGAGAGTCTTAGGATTAGGATTTGGGAGAGATTTCCTACCTCTCGAATTATAGGAATTGGAGAGAGATCGCCTACCTCGCGAGTTGTAGGTGCTTATCTTTTATATTACTATTAAGTTGTTTGGATTATTAAAGAAAATTTCATTTTGCACTAACTTCTGTGAAAAAACATGTTGAATTTGGCACCAAATTACATCAGATGTCGTGGAGGTGAAGTAGAATTGCATACTAAAGAAGCAAATAATTTTATTCATTTTAGTTATAATAGTTGATTAAGAAATTTTTAATCTCGATGTAATATAAAATTGACAGTAATTGTTTATTTTTTCTATATCATTAAATAAACAATATTGATGGATCCCTTAGCTTTTGAAAGTTAATGTCATTAAATTTCTTATTATCTCTTCTTTATTAATGTAAATATTCTATTTATTTAAATTTTATTTATTCTGTTGAATTTACATAATAATTTTGTGTCTATCGTCTAGCTGTATTTTATATTTTCAATAATAGAAGAGTTACGTGTACGTGTCCCTGTATCCATATCCATGCATCATAGGTGATAATAAGGGAGAGCTAGTCTTACATAAGAATTAGCCTTATAAACCGGATTGCATAAAAAACAGTTTTAATGCCAATTGAATCCAAAATAGCACAATCTCGATTGACAAACCTGCACTTTTCTCTACAAATACAAAGCATCCTAAGATTCACCTTAGTACAACGCAATTGTTGAGAATTACCTTAGTACACTGCAATTGTCACCTAATTCAGTATTCCCCATTACATGGCTCCCAGCATGTAATTGACAAGCATTTTCAAAGCATCCTAAGATTCACCTTAGTACAATGCAATTGTCGAGAATTACCTTAGTACACTGCAATTGTTGCCTAATTCAGTATTCCCCATTACATGGCTCCCAGCATGTAATTGACAAGCATTTCCAATCTTTACTGCAGACCCAACTGTACAGAAAGGACCAACAGAAACACCCTGCAAATGATAGCACAAGAATAAGAATAAACAGTAAGTCTTAATATCAGAAAAAACGGAAAATACTAGAAACATGACTTAGGATTAAAGCTGGTATCCAAATCAGCATTATATCAGCAAAGCGTATACATTATTTCAGTATTGCATGTCTGAGTCAGACGCATACACAAATAAAGGAACAAAAAAATAAAATTTGGAATGTCATAGTGCTCTGCATATCCATATCATAGACCCTTTTTCTTTCCAAAAAAAATCCTGGGCACCGCTTCAACTTGATGGCGACACATTTAGGGTCTAGATCACTGTAATTTTGATGGATCCCATCTCAGTCTTATTCTCTGATTTTATCATTCAAATACTTTCTCGGTACATTCAACAAATTCCTGAATATTATAACATGCAATAATTATCATAATTCTTCCTTTCTTTAACATTTACTGCAACGTATATGATATTAAATTTTCTTTGCCATACATAAGTACATACAAAAAGTAAACTTGTAATCTACGCCTTATTTATTTATGCATTGCAGTGTCTGTGCAGTACCATATTCTTGTCAAGTCCTTTAGTGCTCAATAGAAACCTAAGGATTTTGAAAAGTTCCAATCTACCATGTTCTTAGGATTGTATTCCTGGAAAATTTAAGATAACATTGTTTTTCCTTGTACTTAAAACATGGATAATCAGACATGGCAATCGTATAGGACCTGCCATCTACGGTCTCCCTCCATTATATCTTAAAATAACATTACATGATTTATGAACTATTATTAGACCGAACTCAAAATGGCTAATAGAAATACAATAGGTATGCATTTCCCGAGCTTTTCTACCCTAGTTAAGTCATAAATCTATCATAAATCCTTGAGCTCAGGAAGCTCGTAAAGCAATTTAGGAGAGAATCAAAATGAATTAAGGAATCTAATTCATCTTAACTTTCCCGCTTGATACATAGCACATAATATAGAAAGAAGAGTGTTTTGGTAATTTACATGGCTTGTGAAGTTTTTGGATACAGGTTTGGGTTTAGAATTCTGCGGTGATTTTTAAAAAGAGGTTTTCCATATGGGTGAGGTCTCCTTGGTTATATCCCCCTCGAGCTGATCGGTTACAGAGAAACTGTCAGCTTGTTTGTGAGGTGGAGGTGCCGAGAAATGGAGAGGATTTTTGTGAGGATGTCGGAAAATTGATCAGCCCTCAATGATGTGTCTAATTGTAAGCTTGAAGGTCTTATGATGGACCCAGATGAAATGCTAGTCCACCTTAATCTGCTTTGTGCAAGCATGAAAAAGAGGATTGTTGGCCAAGGCAATTGCAAAGATGTTATTACAGTGTAGAGGAGTGGAATTGCATAGATGTACTTAACAGTCTTGAAGGAGTCGCCTGATGTAAAGGTTTTCTGTGGTCGTCGCAACTAGGGCATGATACTCAACTTCAGTTGAAGAGTGTCTTGTTTTTTATTTCATTGCTGACCAAAAAATGAGGCTTGATCCAAGGCATATGCAAAATCCTAAGGTGGAGTGACAGTCGTTTGGATTGCTGGTTTAGTTTGTATTTGAATAAACTTAATGTTGGAGACTTATTGGCATGATGGGTAGCCATATGTTGGTGGTTTCTTGTAGATAGCAGAGAAGCCTTTTGACGGATTGAAGTTGGTAACTTCGAGGTTGATCCATGTGTTGGACAAGATGATTTACAGCGAAGGTGATGTCTGGGCAAGTGATGGTGAGGTATTGAGTGCTCCTATGAGTTGTCAGTACTAATTGAGGTCTCTAATATGGATGTGGGTGATGGATTGTTGGGCTTGGATTTTGTTGGCAGTGGTGTTAAGAATGGTTTGGAGTATTCCATGTCGGTTGTTTGTAGAAGGTTTTCGAGGTTGTTGATTTGGTATATGAATTATCCTGTCTTGTTTATTGAACTTGTAGGCTAAGAAAGTGTTTGATGGGGCCTATGATGTGTGCAAAATGTTGAGTATCATTATCTTCATGCTTGCTTCAAACCGTATATAGCCTTGCTAAGTTTGTAGACATAATGAATGTGTTGGTTGTCCGTGAACCCAGGTGGTCGTCATTTATACAATGTCTTTTGGTTTCCCATGAAGGAATGCTTTTGATTTATCTATATATTAAACGGGCCAATTATTGGTGATGGCACTGGTTAGAAGAATACACATTGTGGGGAAAATGGCCACTGATGACTGTTTCATGTTTCATGTTCCTTGATGTTGTTTGCATCCTTGTGCAATGAGGCTAGTAGCGAGCTATAGTTCCATCTACAAGACATTTGATTTTGAAGATCCATTTGCATCCTAGTATATTTTGCTTGGTTGTTGGAGTTACAAGATTCTATGTGCCTTGTTATTGTAATGCATGGATTTCTTCTTACATTGCTGCTCTTCGAGTTGCGTGTTTGATTGCTTGTTGAAATGAAGTGGGGTCTAATGTACGTGTGTTGGGTGTGTGTTGAATAAGATGTAAAATTTTCCTGGGTTAGAGATGTCCCGTTTGTAGTCTTGTGTCACGTGGTGAGTTTTGGTGGGTATGAATGATATTTTCTAAGGAGCAAGAAAAGGATAAGTGGAAGTAGTTGTTGATTTTTTTAAGGAACAAGAAAAGGATAAGTGGAGGTAGTTGTTTATGTTTTTATTTATACACTTGTATTAATAGCATTAGATAGATATTAATTTTTCACGAGTTTTTTAGGATTAGGATTCTTATATAATAGTGTACACATTCATTTAATATAGGTAATTGTCAAAAGAAGTAGAGTAAGCTTTTTTAGAGGCTATTTAAGGCTTAAGGTGAGTGATTATTTTCTTGTATGTATTAAAATAAAATTTATTTAATTAATAATTGAATTATTACTTCATATACCTATTTTTATAATCAGAAACTTGTTGAATTAAAGAGTTTCTGAAATGAACAAAGTGAAAATTGAAAAGAAAAAAAATGTGGTTTCAATGTCTTAAATGAAAGCAATTAAAAAAAAAATGAAATATAAAGACTTATGTCAACCAAAATTACCCCAAAATAGTACTAGCAAATGATGCACTGTAGTCGTGCATGATAAAGGAAATGGAGTATTTTTTGTGCAAATTTTTTAGGGTACCTATGAGTATAATTTTAAGAATACATTCGAGTGTGACAATAATCCTGATATGGCTCTTAAAGAGTATAAAAGAGTAAGTACTTAAATCAAAATGGGAATGCATAAATTTAAAGTTAAATTTTATGGTTTTATAAAATAATAAAGTACATTTCCATAGGTTATCCATACATAACATTTGCAAATGAAATTTAATGCATATTAAAATTATAATTACTTAATAAATCATAAAAATTTATTGTTGAATTTAATTGTTTTTCAGGAAAAGAAATACTGTAAATTGATATGTCTGGTATAAGGACTTAGTTTACAGGAGGAAGACTAGTTGATAGGTATCATAATATGATGTGATAGCAGTTTCATTTTGCAATATATTCTTCAGGGTAGTGACATACAGTTACCTTAAAGACTTTATTGTTATTTTGGATGTTTTAATTTTTTTATGTCATGTTTTGTGGAATCTTAGTGGCTCTTTTATACATTGGAAGTTTCTGGAAATTTGTTAATAATTATTTAAATATTGATACCGACTGACCACAGTTCCTAACTTAATTAATTCTAACCTATCAGGCCGGATTGTGATGGAAATTGAATACATGTATATAACTCATCTTTACTTACTTGCTTCATACAAGGTACACTATATAGAGAATTAGGGTGTTTTGGTAATTTAGATGGCTTGTGAAGATTCTAGATATGGGTTTGTGTTTACAATTCTGTGGTGATGTTTTAAGGGTTTTCCATATGTGAAAGGTTTTATGGCTTATAGCTCGAGCCTGCCAAAATGGATGATCTCATCAGACAGGTCATTGCAACCTAGCTACAGAACAAATAATTTATTCTTATAAGAAGTTATGAGGAATAAATTATTTGTTTAATATAAAGAGATATTTCATTTCCTATTTTATATTTATTTTCTTGAATTAGAAATTATTTGTTTTCTTATTTTATGTTATGTCTTATATCTCCTAATAATTAATATGAATTAATTATTGGAGATATCAGGTGATATATTTTTCCTTTCATGCCATTTACTTTTTATTATTTTTCTTATTATAGGATTCTTGTAAGGGTTATTTATTGTAAATAGGATTCTTGTAAGGGTTATTTATACCCCCGTTCATATCAATGAAATAATAAAGTATTCCGCATTATTTTGAATTTCAAAATGATATCAGAGCAAGGTTTCGTACCTTAGCCACCAGTCCTCTTTTGAGAATTGTCAGACTCCCTTCTTGCTATCCTCTGTGCAGGAAGAGAAGGGCACTCATCTTGGTATTTGAAACAACGATTTTTTTCTTCATCTCTCCCTAAAAGCTTTGTCTGCAAGCTGGTTCTTCCTGAGCCGGAAGCTTCGACTCTGACGGACTCTATCTTGGTCTTTTTCTATTGTTCTTCCTAGTCGCAGGAAACAACACTATTTTTCCCCTTGGAATCTAGCATTGCTTGCTGTCATTTCCTGTTGTTCTTCCACAAAAATTCAGTGTTGGGTCTTGCAGCCCAGTGAGCAAAACCAGAAGGGATCGAGCAGGGATTGAGCGCAAATCTCACACGTGTGCGGGCATGCACCCTTACCGCTAAGACATGGTTGGGGCCGCTCGTTGAGCAAGAACACTCTGGCATTGTTGATCACATACGTCTGAACTCCCCCGATCTCCAGAAGCTTCTAGATCTCCACTACACGAACCACATCGTAGTAAGACAATCGTCGTATCTGAATCACGCAATGCTCGGCATGTCACTCGGAGCAACATCAGAGGCATAATGTACCAGAGCCGGTGTCCCCTTAGTTGAGACAGAACATGTTGTGTTCGTTGCGCACGACATCCGCATGAGCCGAACAAATCGAGAAGAAGGGGGTCGTGAGCAGGGGCTCAAGCCAAGGCGGCACC